CGTTTATATTTAATAGGAAGGAATGTACGAACGTCATATAAAAAAAAAGACACCTAGTAAAACCAAGGAATGCACACCAATTTTGATTTGATCTAGATTTCAGTACAACTTGTGACACAGAATAGGCGACAGGCATTTCTGCATGTGTTTTATTTTAAAAAAAACCATGTTTTTGAATTTTTGTTTGTTGTATACGTAACTCTGTTTGTCATTCTATGTAACATCGTCCTCGTCATTATACAAAAAAAAAAAAAAATATTTATAAGTTTTAAAATGTAAAAACATCTGTGGTAAGTGCTTTTCTTTTATGTCCTTAAACGTTTTTTGATTTCCTTTTTTTTATATATATTTTTAGCTTTTACAATTTTGACTTTGCTATTTCTATTTCTGAGGATGGAATTAAATGAAAATTCCGAAACGTAAAAAAAAAAAAAAAAAAAAAAAAAATTGTTTCATTTTTTTTTTTCTCTCAACCTGACTGACTCCCAAGAAAACTTCCACTATTTCAAAAAAAAACAGTCAAGAAACCGCATCAAAAAACTATATGTTATGTTATGTTAGTAGCGTGAGGAGTAGGTAATAGATAATATCACAAAATTGTTATACAATTGTGACTCTAATTTACGTAAATTTTATAGTTATTTACCTAACAAATGCGGAAAGTGATACTTTACCGCACGCAACGGCAGTTGACCGAACGACGCGAAGCGGAGTTCGGTCAAGCCGTTAAGGGCGGTAAAGGCACTTTCCGCATGTGTTAGGTACAAAATTTTACCTATGAGCATCTACATCTCCAAAAAAAGGCATTGATAAAATTAATTAATGAATCCGATTAATTAATGAAATTAGATAAGATTTAGAAATGATCAAAAATCCATTTTCTGAAAAAGAGAGGATTTTTGATTATAAATATCAAATTCTACTTTACCGCACACTATGCGGTAAAGTGCACTTTACCGCACACTTTGTATTCTACTTTACCGCATACTATGCTGTAAAGTTAACTTTACCGCACACTATGCGGTAAAGTGCACTTTACCGCATAGTGTGCGGTAAAGTAGAATTTGATATTTATAATCAAAAATTCTCTCTTTTTCAGAAAATCGATTTTTGATAATTTCTAAATTTTATCTAAATTCAATAATTAATCTGATTCATTAATTAATTTTATCAATGCCTTTTTTTGGAGTTGTAGATGCTAATAGGTAAAATGTTGTACCTAACACATGCGGGAAGTGCCTTTACCGCCCTTAACGGCTTGACCGAACTCCGCTTCGCGTCGTTCGGTCAACTGCCGTTGCGTGCGGTAAAGTATCACTTTCCGCATTTGTTAGGTAAATAACTATTACCGAAGTTAGATCCTCATTTCGATTCGCTTTTACAGAACAATTACGAAAAAATGTGAATCATAGCACAAAAGTGGTTGATAAAATTTGTTTTCATTTTATATGTACCTAGACTTGAAAATTGAAAATTTTAATTCTTACGTGTGTGTGTTACGTAATATGAAAACAGAAAATTACATGTTACAAAGGCTTATTATAGTTTACATAGTAGTTGTATTCCTTTCAAGAGTTTGAAACACTCGAGCTACTCGCTCCGGTGTTTAGTAGCCCCCGATTTACAGGGAACAGATGCGTGGTGCAACAAACACTTTTCGAAAGGAATAAGCGCGTGAAGCCCCGGAGCTGTTCCGGAGCTCCTCCTAGGTGTGAAAGGAATACAACTAATATTTACGTAAATTTGGAATAAAAGTTGTTTTGGTAAATATATAATCCCAAAATAATATAAACGTACCTATCTAACAGATGTGTTTACTGATGAGGATTTGTACATCTGGGATACTATTGTTCAGGGGTATTAATAAGATGAAGTATAAGCTCAGACTTAGAGTATTCGAAGTATATGCTGCAATTGGTATTAATAAAAAAAGTAGGTATTTGCTTCAAGTCTGGAGCATCTGGTCCATTTCACTTAAGTCTAGTCAGTAGCAAACTCAACTTAGGAAAAGAATGACACCATGGCCGAATTTATGAATAAATTACGCAATCCTAAAGTATATTCAGTCGTAGAGATGTGGACGATCGAGACCGAAAAGTGTTATATCGATTTGAGAAGGAGAATGTTGAATGGATGTGTGAACACTTTCTGGGTCATTCAGAGGAAAGGAGAGGAGATGCTCTGACGCCACTGCAATTCCCCTTGTGCAATAGGAGCAATAGATTGCACTCATATCCCCATTTTAAAGCCTACTGTCCATAAAGACGAATATATCAACCGAAAAGAATTCCCCATCAGCCTCAATGTTCTCGCAACTTGCAACAGCTCAGAAATGTTTACAAGCGTGGATCTTTCTTGACCGGGCCCCGTTCATGATGCCCGTATTTGGACCAATTCTCAAATCCAACCAGTTATCAGTAGAAATCATGTTCGTGCTCTTCTCCTAGGCGATTCAGGATTTGGCATCGCTACCTGGCTAATGACATCTTTCTGAGCACCTGGTAATCCAGAACAACAAGCATGTAACAACATGCTTACCAGAGAAAAGGTCATCAGTGAGAGGTGTTTTGGAAAATTGAAACAGAGATTTCCTATTTTATACCATAAAATTCCTATTTCATCATTTTTTGCAGGCTGAGACACTTCGCGCTGTACTGTGCATGTATGCATATGCCCAAGGTACTTGAGTTCAAACCAGAAAATGAGCGAATGCTCAGCTTGTGTTTATTTATACCAAGCAAGAGTAAAAGCTCAGACTCTGCCCTCATACTCCGAGCACTTACTTCGTAATCAGACTCAGGTTTATTAAATACCACCCATTGGTTCATTATTTCTAAGCTCTACTTGCTTGAAACACCTTCGTTTTTATAACCATGTTTCCTGGCTGAGAAGTTTCGCTTCTAAGACCCGGAGTCAGCCATTCCATTGAATGAAATAGTAACTTTGGAAAGGAATGAAAGGATATTTCGTTATTTATGTAAATTCAACACCTTATTAACATCCAAAAACAACTGCGTTAGCAGTTAGCAGAAAGAGCTGTTCAAACTTAAAGAACAACGGCAAGTAATTCTATTAAATCAAGAAGACGAATGCTTGAAAGACGTTCTACTGTAGTATCGAAATGCACTACAATGTTGTACTGGTGAAATAATTTTCTGACTACCGTTATCCTTGATCAATTATCGAAACCAGATGTTTTCAGAATTATGGATTTGATGAATAGGCCAGGGCAGATAAGTTTTTTCATAACATAAAATTTTACAACAAACTGGCGATGCAGTATCGTTAAGGATCATTTATAGATGCTAAAAACCAAAAATGCAACATTTAATTACTTTTAGGGGATTTTATAAACAATATTTAGTGCAAAAATAGGGCTCTTTTTTGTTTATTTCACTGTATTTCGAAAACTAATGATCGGATGGTTTTGCTACTATGGCAATAGTTTTAGATCATTGAACAAGCTTTACAATGAGCTATCATACAACCCTGTAGGTCTTTTAGTCTTCGAGAAATGATTTTTCCCCCCAAAAAAGAGATTTTCGTAAAAAATTCCTAACTTTTTTAATTTTTATGCTAGAGAATTAATTTTTTACACATACATAGTAGATGAGGCAGGCTTTGTTGAGTCCAAATTTGGGCCCGGTCCGATGGGTCGTTTCGGCATAATACCCTTGTTAAGCAAAATGGGGATGTTTCTAAAGCAGTCTGTCGAATTGAGGATAATTTTTTTATATTTATTTTGAAACGTCCACTGATATGTCGAAATGCCAAACTATCCATCCTTTATCTCAGATTTTCTATTTAATTTTTTTATCGCAAGTAAAACGGCTCCGAACATGACTGAAAATAAAAAAAATAGGCAAGAATTCAAACGGAGGGGGTAAAGTGGGGGATCCGCCAGAAACAGCTTCCTATTCATATATTGTAGACATATGGGCAGCCAAAACGAAAATAAGCTGACCAAATGATTTTTCAATACAATTACTAAACAATAATTTGCCAAATTTGGAATTTTCCATTCCACTTCCAGCAAATTATCTTGCAATCGTTTTGGAGCTAATGATCCTGAACATATGAACCCATATTTAGTTGTTAGGGAATATGATCTTTGCTAGGGTCGAAACGTGAACCTACTACGTACTAACTAACAAATTTCAATTTAACAATTCAGATTTTGTGGAGAAGATTAATATTTTCTTAAATATATTGGTGCTGCCTATTCTTGAGTATGCAAGCTTCAAATATTATCCCCCAATTTGATATTTCTTTGATTCTCATGAAGGGACACAACAAAATTAATGAACTGTATTTATGTTTTTTTGTTTCTGGAAATTTTATTAATAGTCACAATGAAGTTGTGATATCGATGTTTTATGTAAGATCTTTAACACATTAAGGCTCGGTTTATTCGTCTTCAGATAAAGTTGCTGGTAACTATCTGCAAGATAAATTTACCGTTTTATAATTCTATTGGTCGGCGTATAACTGGTCGATCAATGGGATTACAGATTACATTTTTATCTGTCAGATTGCATACCTGTTTATGTTATCAGAAGGTAAATAAAACAGCCCTAAATAGAAGGAATAAAACCTGTCTGAGAAGAATGAAATAATATCTTCAATGAGGTCGCATTTGATATAGACATTGACACTACTAGCCTTGAACAAATGATTTAAATAAGTTAGTTGACAATAAATAGCTGCGGTTCTTAAGTTTTTTTAATTCTAGTTATAGGTTTTAGGTGAGTTGAGTTTCTGTAATTGGCCTTCGGCTATGGATGTTTTGATATAAATAAATATTATACATAGTAAAATCTGTTGATTGATTCAATAGTGCATTAATAGTAGGTATATTTTTTAAAATCAATATGGGTAAGATTATTCAATAAAATTTTTGCTATCCGTACAAGACTAACATTTTCTCTAAATCCCCAGCAAATGCCTACAAAAATTTGATGGAAATTAAACCAAAATAACCATAGTTATTCATAATACATTTATTTAAATAAATCTAATTCTCACTCTTTCCACTATATGCAACTTTATCGGAAACACACAGAGATTATTGACTAGAACGTTATTATTAACATCACACCAAAAATATTGCTTATATACGTTTAGAACATTTATAATGTAATTATTAGATCTATGGAGCAAAACTTTTCAACTAATTCTACATTGTAGATCCGGAACCTCCTCCTTCATTGTTACCATCATTGTGTCTCGCGTTTTCGGCTTGTAACGCTTGCTGTTGCTGAAGAAACTTTGCTGCGGCGGGGAATCCTTGCAGATCGAAACCTGGTGGTGCTACGATTGCTGAACCTGCTGCTCCACCTGTACCTAAAATAAGATTTCGTATTATAATAATACAGTCATTAAAAATTGAGTTATATAAAATACGTTGCAGCTGTCATTTTAAACATTTCCCATAAAATTGAAAGAATAAAAATTTTAAATGGCAAGTGAACTTAATAGAGGCTATTGCGACAACCTCAGTATCGCGAGTAGTGGGTAAGCATAAATTTGAGATAGGTAGTAAAGTTTAGGAAATTTAGGAGAGAGATAGGTCAATTCAAAAGAATCAGTGAACTTGAAAATTTGGATAATGAAGCAAAATTTCAATAACGAAAACTATGACAAAGTAATAACTAGATTAAAATCTCGATTTGGACAGGATTCAACTTGTTGATCGTGATGACTACAAAATAAATTCTCATAAAATACATTTCAGTTCAAGTTTTGCTTGTCTTCAAATCAGTTGCTGCAAAAATCATATTCAATCAAGTGGATTATATAGTGTTCAAAACTAAAATGCTAAAATCTACCTTGTAAATAAGCTATAAGTCTCTTCATCTCCTCCAGAGCATTCGCTTGCATCAGAATGTAGTTTTTGGCCAATAAGAGGGTGGCGATTTTGGATAGTTTCCTTACAGAAGGTGAGTGAGCGTAAGGAATCACACTCCGAAGTTCGTCCAGTGCGTCGTTCAAATCGTGCATTCTTCTGCGCTCTCTGGCATTTATATTGAGCCTCACGGACTTGCCTTGGCGCCCTTTTCCTTTGATATTCGCATTAGAACTCGCACCCCTGGATTCAGCTCTAGAAAAGAATTTATCTGATATTATTTTTTCTATTGTTATACGATGACTTAACAGTTGATGAAAATGTAACCAGGAAATTAGATTAGGGTCATATAAAAATACATATTATGTAATTGTAAACATGTTTCAAACACATCACATCAGCATTAGACTGACAGAGCTGGCCGATGGTTCCATTTATAAGGCTTTTAATTTTTCTTATACAAACTGGATAAAATATGGGGTTCGCTGAAATACAGCTATGCTTGAAAGTCGTCGAAGAGATCGTTGAAGTAAGTCTTCGAAAGTCGTTCTCCGTTCCCATTCAATTTTAATTCGAGAAAGAAAAATAATTCGAACTCTGTTTCAAGATGGCTCCATACCCGTAGATTAATTTCAAAAATTGCTCGAGAAAATGCAGGAGATGCTAAGAACGCCCTACTGCAGAAAATAGTTGCCAATCAACTCAATGGCCAAACCTGCTGCACAGAAGCGGAAACGACACCAAATTGCGGGCAACTATTCCAGTAAAGCGGAAATGGAACTTGCAGTTGCTGCCGTATCGCAGGCTGTCCTCATGCCGGAAGTCTCTTCACCACATGATAATAATATGATCAAATCGTTCATGGCAGTGAATGCTGTTCATAATTGAGCGGCAGCAGCTCCTCAAGGAGCTGACCGTCGAAAGAGTTCACCTATTGAAACTAATCTTCTGGAACGTTGGGATACAAAGAGATAAAAGAGGGTCGAAGAACCAATACAGGACCGTTAACCTGTCATCTTGGCTCCTGCAGGAGACGAAGATGAGGAATGTAAACAGAATCTCTTTAAAGGATATGAAACTTACTGCCGTAAGCAGCCAAAGGCTGCTGGTCGAGTAGCAATCCTAGTTGAAATAGGCGTAGCATAGTTGCATAGAAGTAAATGATGCTGTCGAGCTGAATAAAGTCGCTATGAAGATTGCAATAATTCGTGCCAGCCTAAGCTAGGATCACTTCAACCCTTCCACCAGGCAGGTCTTGGCAGTCCTACTATGCTGAAAGTTGACTATAGAAAAAGTAATCTCCGATCATTGATTGATAACAGTAACCAGTCCAATGCCAAGAAGGCCAAAGGAGATTTCTCTAAATAGGCTGGAGTCATGACTACCAGAAACAGAAGAATTTGGAGGGAACATGGAGAACTCAAAGAAATAGGATAGTGTGATAACCCGGGAAAAATAGACCCGTAATTTCCAATGTCTTAACAGTAAAAATTAAATGCAATCATATAATCAAAAATTGAACCTCCAATATTTCAAATCAGTAGCAATAAAACTGGATAATGTAGAGACAAATTAGCGTTGATCCCAAATTAATTAAAATACGTTCAATTTCTAATAGCCAGTTATCAGGCGTGTGTCATCAAGTTAGTTGAACTCATAAATCAAAACCCGGAAAAGATTAGATACAAGGTTAGGTACCTACTTTAATTGAGTCCCAAAATGATAGAAATTTCAAAAGATCGTATAATTTATTGCCGGCACGAGTGTGCTTTTCCTCGAATTAAGTGTCCTCTACATTCTTTTCCATTTCATTGACCCCAAATAATCATACAATTTCGGCACAGATTTCATCATCCGATGAGCAAGTTAAAATTTTTGGAATAATATCTAGGTCGACCAATAGGATTGAATTACAGATGGTCAAACGACCCATATTGTCGATTGTGGTGAGTAAATAATAGTATAAAAGGGGTGACCGTTCAAGAAGAGAGGAATCATCCATCAATTATCAAGAATTAAACTCAATAATTAGTAGTATTCAGAAGTGGCGAGTTATCTCAAGTATAAAAAAACGGGAAATGTAAAAATTACAGTAAATAACTCGAATTAGGAAAGAGGTAAACCTTTCAGTTTTTATGCGCGTGCTCTAGCTATTTCGAGTAAATAATAATTAGAATAATTAAGTGACTTTGATATTTAAATGTAAGTACTCCAGTGACAAGTTTTGTTTTGACTTTATCAATGTTGAAATGACTATGAAATGAATTGACTATGAAACTTTATTGCATAACTATTATTATGTAGAGTGAATTGACTTTGAATATTTTTGAGCTTAGTATAGATAGAGAAATATAATTCAAATGACTGTTAATTGAAATAAAATTTTACTGAAGAGATTGGATAATCAAATTGACTGTTTTGTTCCGTTTAGCGAATGATTAGTTAGATACTTTGGTCTCTAATTAAAAGAATCAAGATAAAATGTTCATTGTTTTGATAGTATTTACTCTGGCTAAGTAGACAATTTTTGAGTATAAGTATTGTACAAAATTTGGCAGTAAGCAATTTCAGGAATTGTATACGTTTATAGAGCAGGAAGTTATAATAAACTAAATTATGAATTATTGTTTTGGGGTGAAAAAGATGTTTAGGATTTAAAAATATTGTACCTAACGTAGTAGGGATATATGAAAATGTTATTAAAGTACAAGGCTTCTTGATTGCATCATTTGATTTAGAATTGTTTATTTTTGTTTAGAAAGGTGTTGGATAAGGGTTTAGAAAATTTGTACCGTTGTAATAGGAAATGAAAATCTGTTTATTTTCTAATTATTAAAGTATAATTATTAACGGATAACCATATAAATCCAGTTTGTTTCTCTCTCTTGCCCCCACAATTTTATTTTCAGTAGCTGCCCAAGGAAATAATTACCATCAAATACGATTGCTCGCAATTTACCATCTAACCTAATTAATAGAGTACTTGGCGCGGATGCTACAATGGTACTGAATCAGCACAGAGAAGCAACCGATGGCAGAAGAAGATCCATGAACTTGCGACCATTGGCTAATCGTCGTGGCCAATGCAGAAGTATCTGAGAAGAGAGAACCATAATTTCAACTTGGATAGACTCGAGGAATGCGAAATAAAAAGCGCCCATAGAAAAATAGGAATCTTTTTTCTGTATTGTTTACTAGTGCTGATAGAAGGTATTTTGAATAACTGTATTTTATAGGGAAAATAAGCTGTCTCAGTAAAAAATTTAAAAGAATAAGTAAAAGGGCCTCTCATTGAAAAATAAATTGCTTAGACTCATCTGGGCTATTTTTATTTTGTGAAGAAAATGCATTTTTCTGCGATTGACAAGAAATGTCAGCATTTTTGACTGGTTGACAGGTCGCAAAATTCAATATTCTGGTATTTTAATTATGTTTCAATAGTTGCTAAGGAATCAATGAATGACAATACGGGAAACACTTTTCTTTCTAGTATCGCTGAATAATTGGTACAAAAAGAAAGACGAACATTTAACAGATATTTAATCGATCGCAGAAAAAATAGTATGTGTATTTCGGTGTTTGCCGGCCTCGGCTACGCTTCGCCCGTCAACTTACACCGTCGGCCGAGAATGTGTCACTTTTCCAACTAAATACACAATATACTATTATTGGCATTATCGTCATCATATTTTGGTATAATTACTGAATTGTCATTGTGCACATTGTTTTTGTTTTGATTTAATTTTTTGAGTAATCTCTCCTGAATCTTTCTTTAATCGTTTCACAAAAATGGGTTCCCTTGTTCAGGAAATAATTTCTTTAATTTCCAGTGGGGGATTGACTTTTGAAAAACGGTTGGAATTAAAGAAAAGTGGTCGTCCAAAACCAAAGCTTGATTTATGCCAAACCACGAAAGAGCAGTCTAGGTTGAGTGCATTGACTATGCTCAGTATTGAGACGGCATTTATCAAAAAAATTGGGAACTTCAATGAACTAGTCATTGACCACTTTACTCATCAGAAGGATAGGAGAATTGATTTGTTGTTCAAACGTGTCTAAATTTGGGACTCAGTCGACTTAAACAATAAACATTAGACCCACCCTAGGAGCAAGGATATTACACCTCTCCTGCGCTAACTAACCCAACATCTACGTCATCAATGCTCAAATTTCAAAATGACCATAAATGACTCTAAATGAGCGCGAAACTCAAATATTCAAATTTAAATTCCTACAAAAAGACAAAAACTAAAGCCAAAAAATTTAGTTTAATACCAAAAATTTTTCGCCTAAAGCGCTATTTTAGCCTGCGGCGCTGTCCCTCTTAATTTGACCCACCTGTAAAAAAAACTCACGAGCCGCGCCTGGTATTAGCAAAGTCTCTAAAGTTTAGCATGGAATAAATTTGACCTATTATATGATACGTTTACACAATAAGATGATATTGAGTATTTAGGTAACCTGACAGACATATTTTCCAATAAAGTTTATATTATTTTTATTATCCTTTGACATTAGGATCCATTACTTTGGTGCATTTCTTGGAACTATTAATATCATATTATTTTTATAATATTCTAAATTTAGAATAATTTTTTTTTCTGTTTATAGATACGCATTCGCATTGTACGGATCTTTACGATCTAATTTTTTTATGAGAATGGGGTCCACGCACAATTCCTTTTTTCAAGAGGTTTCAACACATTAAAGTTTCAGTAGGATACACCACGAAGACTGTAAGAATATCAAAATCTTAAACATAAGAAACATGGTAGTCTAGTCATAATTGATGCCGGGGCAGCAACACATTCGAAGCAGGATCGCTAAATCATGTTCTTGCTTGTGCTGCTATGGTCCTGCCTCATCCTGCTTCAAATCTGACCCCGGCAACACGGACTATTTTCGAGACAGGTATTTTAATTTGGTTGCTAACTTGCTGCTATATTACTGCTTTGTCCTGCTTCAAACAGCAACCCATCAGCAACACCCATCGTTTTCGAAATATATCGATTTCCATTTTCGTTGTTAACTTCACCCTTGGCAACACACTGGAAGCAGGATCGCTCAAACATGTTCCTGCTTGTGTTGCTATGGTCCTGCCTCATCCCGCTTTAAATCACACCCTAGCAACACATACTATTTTTAAGATACAGGGATTTCCATTATGGTTCGTAACTTCACCCTTGGTTTTGGAACACATTGGAAGCAGGATCGCTCAAACATGTTCCTGCTTGTGTTGCTATGGTCCTGCCTCA